GAGAGCAGAGAGAGAGAGCCCCAGGGCCAGAGCACGCTCGCTGCCTACCAACTGCTCTCCAGAGCTCACCCGGCAGCAACGTGACTTCTCTCACCCCTGACCTTAAGTGTGTTGCTTGATTTGGAACAGGACAGAGACGACTTCCATGAGTCACTTAAGTCAAGGTTCCTCGGCCAGTCACCCCTTCTGCTCCTGGTCTGGCCCTGGTACCCGCCTGCTCCGTCCCTGTCATTCTGCCCAGGGCTTCTGTGTGCTTGTGGTGTCATCCAGAGACCAGGACCCTAACAAGGCAGGGAGGTATCTTTTGCCAAGGTCCTTTCTGTAGTGTGGCCTTTCTATTTCCCGCTTACATTCAGAACCGGAGCCTGAGGTGGTAGGAGTCTTCATTCTTTCTGCCTATTAAGCGTGCCTAGGAAAAGGAAGAGCACCGAGGAAGGAAAAACTTGAGAGGGAGTTAGGTTCCTTCATACTTCCTACTATCCAGCCCTGACATACCCTGGCCAGGGTCAGCTGTTTGCAGACCTGAGCCTCAGGGAGCTAACAGCTGTGATGAGCTTTCTGACCAAGCACCTGGGACCAAAGTTGGTGGGTGCAGCCCAGACATGTAAGCGGGGACTGTGCTTTTGTTTCCTGGCCACCCAGACCTGAAGAACAACACAGAATAATAACACAGAAGCTATATTAATGACAACACTGTCCAAAGGCTCAGGCATATTCCTAACTAATTCTTACATCTTAAATTAGCCCATTTCTATTTATCTGTATATTGCCACAAGGCTGTGGGTTACCAGTGTGGTGTGTTTATTCCTTCAGTGACTACATGGCCTCTCCTTGACTCCGCCTTCTCTCTCTCTCTCTCTCTCTCTCTCTCTCTCTCTCTCTCTGTCTCTGTTCAGATTTCCCGCCAGGCTTTACTCTGCTAAGCCATTGGCTGAAACAGCTTTATTCATCAACCAATAAAAACAACAGATATACAGAAGGCCATCCCACAACAAATGCATCTTCTCAGTGGAGCAGCAACTACTGAAAAGGCTGAAACCCTGACCAGAGGCCCCAGCAGGGCCTCCCTCCTCCATCTGCCCAGGAGGCACTGGCATTGTATTCTTTGGTGCACAACACTAGCCCAATTTGAATGAGCAGGTGTTGGAGCCCCTACCTCATACCTCCTTATGCAAGATGTGGCTGTGGAGTGTCATGGTAGCCCCCTTCCCTATTATCGGTGTTCTGTGCTGGCCAGAGCATCTAGCTATTGACTAGATGGCCTTCCATGGAGAGATGCCCCAGAAAGGAGATTATTTCCAAGAATTCACACAAAGGTGGAAGGGGAGAATCAACTCCATACAGCTGTCCTATGGCATCCATATGTATTCTTCTGTGCACACACACACTGTGGAATAATCCTGTTCACTGTGAAAATGTGTTGCTCTCATTGTTAATAAAAAGCTGATTGGCCCATAGCTAGGCAAGATGGGGGGGGGCAGAGAGAACACTGGGAAGAGAAGGAGCAGAGCCAGGAGAGCTGTAAGCCAGATGCAGAAGAAACAACATGGGAACTTCATAGATGAGTTCAATGAGCCTGGGGCAGCATGTAGATTAATAGAAATGACTTAATTTAAGCTATAAGAGCTGGCTAGAAACAAGTCTAAGCTGTCAGCTAAGCATTTATAATTAATAATAAGTATCTGTGTGGTTATTTGGGAACTGACTGGTAAAACAAAAAAAGGTCCTTCTACATACACATGTGCATGTACAAGCACACACACACACACACACACACACACACACTTTTAATAAATGATAAAATTGGATGATGTAACCAGGTGCTGTGGCTCACATTGGAATCTGTATTTGGAAAGCTGAGGCAGGAAGATCATAAGTTGGAGAGTAACCTGAATTTTATAATGAATTCTAGGCCATCCTGAGCCACATTAGGAGGTTATGTCAGGGACTGGAGAGATGGCTCAGTGGCTAGCAGCATTTACTGCTCTGCAGAGGACCCACACTTGGTTCCCAGCACTTCCATGTCAACTGACGACCACTTGTAACTCTAGTTCCAGGAGATTCAGTGCCCTCTTCTGGCCTCTTTAGAAACTGCATACATGTGGTGCACATAAATACTTGTAGATGAAACACTCAGACATGTAGAACAAAGGAAATAAGTCCTTTAAAAAGGGAGAGATATGTCAAAACAAACTCTCCCTGTAGCTGGACAGCAGCCATGGCAATAAGTGGTGGGTTTTGCTGCTAAGAACAGCGGCTCCTCAGAACAGCTCCATAGAGAGAAGTCTTGTGTGGGACCCGGTGAATGGTGGGTGGTCTCAAGGACTGGGGTGAACTGAAGAAAGGACTTCACAGTGCTCTGCTTCCTGGGGGTGGAAGGGACCTACACATTCTCACTTGTGGATCGTGATCAAAATGAAGACTACCAGGTGCATGATGGATAGATGAATGGATGGATGATACACACATAGAGATGCTAAGACAAGACTCACTTAAGTAAAAATAGGAAAACATTACTGGTAGACTTTAGAGTGGGCTTACAGGTGTTTTCTGGGATTACAGACATTTACCACTAGGCTGGATTTATTTTTGGCTGGGGGTGAAATTAGGGCCTTGTGTTATACGAGCACTCTACTGACTGAGAGATCCCAGTCTTGTGTGCTTAAAACAGCTACAAAAGGAGCTGGAGAGATGGCTCAGAGGTTAAGAGCATTGCCTGTTCTTCCAAAGGTCCCGAGTTCAATTCCTAGCAACCATATGGGGTCTGGTGCCCTCTTCTGGCCTGCAGGCATACAGACAGAATATTGTATACATAATAAATATATAAATACTTAAAAAAAAACAGTTACAATAAAGAGACCCCGCTCCAGCAAGGTCACACTGACTAAGCATCCTGTTGTGGCTTGATTTTCTTGAGGGGGGGGATTTTTTTGTTTGTTTGGTTTGGTTTGGTTTGGTTTGGTTTTTTGAGAAAGGGTTTCTCTGTATAACACCCCTGCCTGTCCTGGCACTCACTTTGTAGATCAGGCTCGCCTTGAACTCACAAAGATCCACCTGCCTCTGCCTCCCAAGTGCTAGGATTAAAGGCATGTGCCATCACTGCCCAACTTGTTGGTTGTTTTTTACTCTTTTGGGGGGCCCACCTCCCAGCTCCCAAATAAATCACATAACCGGAGGCTTATTATTACTTATAAATGCCTGGCCTTAGGTTGGCTTATTTCTAGCCAGTTTTTCTTACCTTAAATTGTCCCATCAGCCTTTTGCCTCTGGGCTTTTTCCTTCTCTTACCTCTGTGATCTTGCTTTCACTCCTACTCCATGGCTGGCTGGGGGGACTGGATGGCTGGGTGACTGGGTGGCTGGGTGGCTGGGTGGCCCCTAACGTCCTCCTCTCCTTGTTCTCCTGCTCCTTCTTCTTTTCTTCCCGGGTTCCTCCTGTTTATTCTCTCTGCCTGCCAGCCCTGCCTGTCCTTTCTCCTGACTTGCTATTGGTCGTTCAGCTCTTTATTAGACCATCAGGTGTTTTAGGCAGGCAAAGTAACACAGGTTCACAGAGTTAAACAAATATAACATAAAAGAATGCAACACATCTTTATCATTAAAACAAATGTGCCACAACATAAACAAATGTAACACAGCTTAAGATTCTACAGTTGGGTGGTGGCGGCGCACGCCTGTAATCCCAGCACCAATCCTTGTGGTGGAATATTATTTTCTAATAAAGAGCTGAATGGCCAATAACTGGCAGGCAGAGAGAATAAGTAGGAGGAGAACTCTAGGCTCAGAAAGAGAAGAATGGGAAGAATGAGAGAAGGAATAGAGGATGAGGGACACACCCAGGGCAAGAAGCCAGGCAGATGCCAGGCAGACACAGAGAAGCGGTGGAAGATACACAGAAGTAAGAAAGGTAACAAGCCCGAGGCAAAAGGCAGACAAAGAGAAACAGGTTAATTTAAAAAGAGCTAGCCTAAGCTAGGGCGAGCATTCAAAACTAATAATAAGTCTCTGTGTCATGATTTGAAAGCTGGTTGGTGACCCAAAAGAAAGCGTTTGGTACACATTCTGATGCTACAGGTTCTGGACCTCAGGCCTCCACTTAACAGACTCTACCATTCTCTCCCCTCAACCCAAGCGCTCCCCTCACCTTCTTCCCTTCAGCTCCTTTCTCATTTCCTGTCTTCTCCATGAGATGACACCGCCTTCATTCACTAAAGCTCAACTCCACCATCACTCCCGTTACCTTTGCCTGTGCAAACGGCTGCTTGCTCTCACCCATCCCTGTGTAAATCAGTCTGGATTCTATAACGGAGGGTCACACGTTGAATTGCAGCTCCTTGCCTATCTGGGCCCTATATTTACTCAGCATGGAACTGGAGTTCCTTGGGCTGGGGAAATGACCTAGTTGGAAAAATGCTTGCTATGTAGGCGTGAGGACCCAGAATCTACACACACAAACACAAAACAAAACAGGGCGCAGTGGCATGTAGTTTCACTTATTTTAAAATAGACTTTGTTTGCTTTTATTTTATGTACATAAGTGTTCTGCCTACATGTAAGAGCACCACATGCATGGATCCTCTACAGGGGCCAGAAGAGAGTGTCTGATCTCCTAGAGCTGGAGTTAGGAACAGTTGTGAGCCACCATGTGGGTACTGGGAATTGAATTCCTGTCCTCTGCGAGAGCAGCCAGTGCTCTTAACTGCTGAGCCATCTCTCTAGCCCCTCTGGTAGTTTATAATAATACTTTTAATAATACTAGCACTAGGGAGGTGGAGACATGCAGAGACAGGCAGATTGGCAGCGTACCCTACTTGGCAAGACCTGGGCCAGTAAAAAACACATGTGTCAAAAAGCAAGGTCAGGGCATGTGGCACCAAGCTTGCCAACCCAAGTTTGGTTCCTGGGTCCCACACGAAAGAAAAAGCAAATTGGCTCCTGCAAGTTGTCCGCTGACCGCTACATGTGTGCCATGGCAAATGTGCATACATACAATTGCCAACAAACAAATCAATAAATGTAATTTAAAAATCAAAACAGGATAGATGGTACATAAGGGTGATCTCTGATCTACACACACACACACACACACACACACACACACACACACACACACACAGAAGAATTGGAGGTTTTTGGAGCAAGTACTAGTCAATGACCCAGCTTGGCACTGAACCCATTTCTGAAAGCTCAAATGCATCTCTATTGAAACTGAAGCAGCCACTGGTCATTGTGATGCTCACATAACTTCTGTCTTCAAGTGTAAAAAGCCATTCCACATCCATTTCCTGATCTGACTCCCTCAGAAAGAGTGGAAGTCCAAAGGTCCCAGGTGGATAAGCCACCTTGTTGCACTGTCGGCTTGGTACACTGGGCCAAAGGGCACTGCTGAGGTGCCAAACCCAAGCACTTCCTTTCCCAATGCGTGTGGAATTATCTGAACTTGTGCCCAGTGAAGGTCGCGGAAGGAGACGAGGCCAAAGGATCCTGGGATATCGGGTATGAGCAGGTCAGACAAACAGTTCACTCGGCTCAGAAGGAACCCCGAACTTGGAGGTAGCCCCAGGAGGCTGGAGAGAGTAGAGAGGGGACTGAGGATTAGACCTTGGCTTTCATTCACCAGTCATCAAATCTGTAAGAAGCAGGGGGCTTTAGAGAGAACAGTTCAATATGGAGCGGTTTTCTCACCCTGAACAAGCAGAGGCAATGGGATACAGCGGTTTACGGGGTGCCTCTGGAGTTACACTGCTAGGATGTGGATCAGGTCAATATGACCTAGGATGAGTTACTTAACACCTTTGTACCTCAATGTTATCACCTGTGGAATGGGAACAGTACCAAAACCTACTTCAGGATTTTTATGAGAATTAAATGAATCAATCCATGCATTTTCCTGAAATCGTCCTGAACATAATAAACGTCCAACACATGTAGTTGCTAATTAACTTGTTATTAACCAGCATCTATAGGCTAGTTCTTTCTTCTTCATTTCTTTAATTTTTGTTTTTTTTGAGACAGGGTTTCTCTGTGTAGCTTTGGAGCCTGTCCTGGAACTAGTTCTTGTAGACCAGGCTGGCCTCAAACTCACAGAGATCCTCCTGCCTCTACCTCCCGAGTGTTGTGGGATTAAAGGTGTGCACCACCATTGCCTGGCTTTCTTTCTTTCTTTCTTTCCTTCCTTCCTTCCTTCCTTCCTTCCTTCCTTCGTTCCTTCCTTCGCTCCTTTCTTCCTTTTTTTGTTTTTGCTTTTCAAGACAGGTTTCTCTGTGCATTACCTAGTCCGGGGTCAGGGAGTGGTAGCACACACCTTTAATCCCAGCACTCAGGAGACAGAGGCAGGCAGAACTCTGTGAGTTCAAGGCCAGCCTGGTCTACAAGAACTAGTTCCAGGACAGGCTGGAACAGATCGAGTTCCAGGACAGCCAGGGCTATACGTAAAAACACAGTCTCTAAAATGAAAAGAAAAGAAAAATGTGCATCATCACCACCTGGCTATAGGCTGTTTCAAAACTGTGCAAGCAGTCACTCTAAAAGCTTAGTGGTCAAGAACAACAAACCAGTTCACCTTGCTCACGACTCGGAGGATGGGCAATCTAGGCTGACTCAGCTGCGCAGTTCTGTTGGAGTCTTCTGGGTTCACTGATGAGCCTACAACTGTCTGTCTGGTGAGCAGGGTCTGGGTTGTCCAAAGTGGCTTTATTTATGTGTCTAGTGGCTGCGGTTGTAGCAACATTGCCTTCTGTAAGCTTTCCGCTGTGGTCTGGGATGCCAGCCACGGCCAAAGAGAGCAAGCCCCAGTGAACAAACGCCTTTCAGATCTTTTCCTGCATCAGCTTGACATGTGTGTGTGTGTGTGTGTGTGTGTGTGTGTGTGTGTATAGATGCCCCCCTTGTGGAGGCCAGATGTCCAGTGTCTTCCTCAATTGCTCTCAATTGTTATCGTTTTACACGTACCTGTTTTGCCTGGCCCGGAAGGGGTGGACACATGCCACAGGGTGCAAGTGGAGGTCAGAGGACAGCCTGCAGCAATTGTTTATCTCCCCCCCCCCCGGGGGGTGGGGGGGGGGGGTCAAACTCAGGGCGCTTGGCTTGGCAGCAAGCATGTTTACCCAGTAAACCAACTAACTGGACCTCCACTTTATTTTTGGAGACAGGGTCTCTCCCCGAAATTGGACTTCATTAATTGGCTCGGCTAGCTGGCCAATGCGCTCTAGAGGGTGTCTGCTTTTGTAGCTCAGGAGTTATAGGAGCAAACGATGTTGCTGACTCTATGTGTGTGCTGGGGATGAGAACGCAGGTCCCCCTGCTTGCCTGACCACCTTACAACTGAGCCGCCTCCCCAGCCTCCTGCCTTCCGTTTGCCAATGTCCCATTAGCCGAGGCAAGTCGCAAGACCAGACCCACATTTGAAGGCTAAAGATGAACACTTCACGTCCTGATAAGAAGAGAGATGCCGTCAAGGGCAAAGGGACCTGGGCTAGGACTAAGACTTGAGTGTGTTCTCCACCAATCTAAACAACACATCACACTGGGTACCTGTTAGGTGAGCAGAGCTCAATTTTGGAAACTGAAAGTGATGCTCAAAACAGATGGGAAAGGATTGAGACATGAACAAAACAACCGCACGGAGGGCTTGAGTGTGGCCAATGCCCCAAGGCAGGACCAACTATGGGCTAGGGAAGTTTGGGTCAGAGAGCTCCTTTAGTCAGGGGTGACCGTCACTGTGTTGGGAAGGTTTAATTAGCTTGACTTTCAATACTGTTAGAATCTGGGCATGTGGAGATGAAGGAAGTGATATTTTGGATAGACAGAAAAGCAAAGCTAGAGCAAAATGGATGTCTATGGAGTGCGGGAGCCACGAAGGAAGGACTGCAGGGAACAAGACTGGAAAGAACCTGGGATCTGACCATGGCCTTGAATTTCATTCTGTAGGCAATGGGAGTCACTAAACGGTTTTTGGATGATGAGTGAAAAGAACTAGATTGTCAAAAGCCTCTCTTGCTAATAGTTGGAGGGCTTGGAGGGGTGAGAGGAGTATGGATGGATGGTCGTCAGGTCGTGAAGGATCTAGAAGTCTCGGTGGAACAGTCGGCTAGAGCATCAAGAGAGAAAGCAGGGGTAGATGATGGCTCAGTGGGTAACCTGCCTGCACGCACAGCATGGTAACCTGAGATCTGGTCCCCAACATCCATACAAGCTGAGATTTCACCTGTAATCCCAGCACTGAGGTCCCAGAACAGATATAGATGGATCTCAGGAACCCATGGGTGAGCTACTCTAGCCAAACTGGCAAGTCCTGGCTCCAGTAGGACCCTGTCCCAAACACTCAGGTGGAGGGGCTGGAAAGATGTGTCAGTAGTTAAAAACCCTTGCTACTCTCACAGAGGACCCAGGTTCTACTCCTGGCACCCACATGGCAGCTCTCACCCATCCATAACTCCAGGTCCAGGGATTCAATGTCCTCTTCTGACCTCTGTGTGCACCAGGCACACGCATAGTGCACATGCATACATGCAAGCAAAAACACTCGGGCACATAAAATAAAAATAATACAACAAAAAACATGTTTTAAGTGAAAATAAAAAAGATAACGTGAAAAGTGGAAGAAGACATTGAACTATAGTCTCCATATACACATGTATGAGCCAGTGCGCCCTCACACATACATGTGCACACGCAATGCATACACCACTCACTCACCCACAGACACAATACATAAATCAAAGTAAGCGTAGGAAATGTGGGGGCCTTAGTGAGTGACAGTACAGAGGATGAAGAGCTGTCAGAGACGATGCCAAGGATGCCAGGCTCAGTGCCCACAGGACGGCAAAGGAGAAAGGGTTCCCTTCCAAAGCAGGGGAGCCTGGAAGAGAAACAGACCTGAAAGGAACCTGTGGGTGTGGGGGATGTGGGGGACATCTGGGTAGTGTCTCCCTAGAGACAGACGCTCACTGAGAGTAGAGCTCAGGGCAGCAGCCTTGAACACAGCAAACACGGTGGCAGCAAACATGTCACTTATGGTTAGGTGACTAAGAGAGGAAGCAGGATGCACGAAGCCGCCCCCCCTCCCCCGTGCGCCATGAGATTTGACAACGAAAGGGTCATAGCAATCTTCCAATAGAGCAGAGGAGGTCAAGGTCACTCAGGATTCATGGTGAAAGGGGGGCAACAGGCATCTTACTGTTGGGAGCTTTCTTGGTTGGAGAGTTCCCCTGGATTCTTAGGACCCCTGCATCCCAAACCTTCCAGAGAAGGTGCATAAAGTGCTACTCACTCCCCTGCTAACAAGAAACTGCTTTATGCTCCAAGGCTCAATCACTGAGCTAAGTGACAGCCAAGTGCATTCTAGCCCCAAGGTGTTCAAAATCTGAAAAACAAAAAGAACACCCTTCCCCTGCCTGCCCTTCTAGAAGGGAGGCGGGTTAGGCACTCCTGGCATCCCCTTTCTCCGTCCCCGTCCCCGTGGTGTTGTGGAGACTTGGAGAACCACCTGCTGGCCGAGCACTTCCTAGCTAAGCCCTGCTGTGTTTTCATAGCTAAAAATAGCAGCACGCAGGCCACTGTTCTCACAGGAGCTCCCTAACCTCACTGCTTGTTTTCCTGACAGCCGGGGACCTCACCTCTTCCTGTCCAAGCCTCAGAGAACTCTCTGGGTGGTGGGGGTGTTAAAATGGTCCTCAGTTACTTATTTTCTAATAATGTTCCCGGTGGCCTCAGGGGAAAAGAGCAGGAGGGAGGGTTCTATAAGATGGGGTGTCTGCTAGAGATGGAGCATTCCCAGATTTTGGGGGAATGAACGAAATGTGACATGGATAGAGGTGGGGGCACAGAAAGCTCACTGCGCAGGGTAGGTGCCAGGTGGGGGCTTCTGCCGAGGCACGTGCCCTTGAGATCTGAGCCGCTTCCAGCAGACTTAGTGTCCAGGTGTCCAGGGAAGGAGGACTGGCTTCACAGGGCATTCACTTCCAGGGCATTCACTTAAGCCTGTGTAGCTTTTTTCTTAACTGAGTGAATTCTTTTTTGTTTCTTTTACTTTTCAAGACAGGATTTCTTTGGGTAGCCTTGGCTGTCCTGGAACTTGCTCGGTAGACCAGGCTGGCCTCGGGTTCACAGAGCTCTGCCTGCCTCTGCTTCTTGTGTGCTGGGATTGAAGGTGTGCGCTACCACAGTCTGGTGTGAGTTCATTTTTCAAAATACATCTCTTTATTGTGTACGTGTGTGGGAATGCATGTGAATGGCTTCATGGCCAGATTTCTTTGGCCACCATGTGAGTCCTGGGGATTTGAACTCACATTCTCAGATTTGGCAACAGTCACGTTTACCTGCTTAGTCATCTCACCTTGAGTCATTAGGGGTTTTTGTTGTTGTGGTGGTGGTGGGGAGGACTTCTTTGTTTCTCCCTAAGAGACAGGGACTAATTACTCAGGCTGGTCCTGAACTGTTTGCGCTCAGTCACTCCCCCGCCTCAGACTCCTGAGTTGCCGGACTAGAGACACAGGCCTTCACACCCAGCTGAGAGGATTTCGGCTTTTCACACTGGAACGTTATTTATCTTCTCTTTAGCTCGGTGGCAGAAGGCTTGCTGCGTATGTGCATGTGTATGTCAAGGCCCTAGGCTCTAACGTGTCCTCATGGGAGACACTTCCAGAGGGTGCTGCAGGCTCATGGAGGGAAGAGATACCCGGCAGTGCACCACTGGCCAAATCCCGTGGCTCGCAGGAAGGACCAAATTTGACAGGAAGAATGTTTCCTACCTACTGGAAGGGTTTGGCATCACCAAAGGTTGTGCTGGAAATGAGGAAAGAGTCTGCCGTCTGTCCCTAAGAGAACTGGTTGATTGTCCTGGCAGAAACACCCACTTCTTTGAGGGAAGGGGTCTTAAGAGAGTGTGTTTTGATTTGGAGAGAAGGCAGCTGCTGCGCTGGCAGGAGGAAGGGAGCGGAGCGGGCAGCGGGCTCTTCATTGTTTGCCATGGAGCAAAAAGCCTTTTGGGAATTACTCAGTGGACAAAATGTCCAGCCCTTCCTGAGAGCCAGGCTCTTGCTGCCTGGTCAACAGGTGTACAGTTCAAGGTCCTCAACCTGAACTTTCTCACTGAGCCAGCGATAAGTCAGCCATTTTTCACTGGCTAACAATCATTAACCCACCTCCATCTGAATCCCCGACTTGTTTTTCTGGCGAACGAACTGGGTCACTCACTCTGAAGGTGACAGCAGCTGAACCAGCCAGTTTCTACAGTCCACCCCAAAACGCCTCCCCCATCGATCACTTGGGAGGAGGGAGGAAAAAGAAACCCACCTAAAGTTGTAAAGAAAAAAAATATTAAATTAAACTTAAACAGTGTGGCTGGGGCTGTAGCCTGTTTGGAAGTGTGTGAGCCCAGCTTGCCACAAACCAGGAGAGGTGGTCCAAAACTAACTCCAGTCCTCAGGAGGTGGAGGTCATCCAAGGTCATTCTTGGCTACAGATAGAATTTAAGGTCAGGCTTGGCTGCAGACACTGTTTAAAAACACACATACACAGAGTGTTTATCTTGCAGTTTTGACCTGACCCACACCCTTCAGGTCAGACAGCTATGAGCTGTATCCTGGCTACAGTTTGTAAGCAAGACTTATTCTAGCAATACTAACCAACAAAGTAAAAGAAGCCCCTCTCTCCATAGAGCCCAGAGTCCAAGCCAGAATACAGGATTCAGCTTAAAAAAACAAAACAAAACAAAAAACACACAAAAAAACAAAAAACAAAAAACCTAGAGTTTCTTTTTGGTAGTACACAATTTAGGCTGATGTGTATGGTGAACCACACTCCTTCCTCTCTTGGCTCTCCTGCTGGCAAATAAACATGAAGGAATGAGTCAAACTCACTCTGGAGACAGAGGCAGCCAGGACAGTGCGCTGGGTCAGACTGTCATTTCTGGCTCCTTTCCTTCATTTTCTTCCCAAACTTCTGGTTGTCTGTAGAAAAACTGTTCCGTGTCTCTGCTGGTTAGTGTACCTCACAAAGAGAGGGCCAAGCCATTTTTCATCCTTGGTATTTCTCAGCTTTCTCTGGAACCCCCCATTGATATGTCCAGAGTCTTCACCATTGAGGATCCATAAGGGGTTCACCAGCATTTGTACAAATAAGAGCCCATTTCAATACAAAGAGCACTCAGTTTTGGTCGCTAGGTCTGGCTCCCTGCCCGCCCCCCAGTAGACCGCCAGTGCCCCAGAGATCAGCCAGGATTTAGCTTGGAATGCCTGTGGGTGGGTCCGTGGAGCATGAAACTTGGGAAATGTTAGTTAAGTTGAACTGGAGAATTGTTTTAAAATGAAAGTGGCAAGAACTAAAAAGAGAGGGCTAGAGAGATGGCTCAGGGGTTGAGGACATGTTCTCTTCCTGCAGAGGACTCAAGTTCAGTTCCCAAGACCCACACGGTAGCCCACAGCTGCCGGGAACTCCACCTCCACACTCACACACACACAACCACAGACAGACATATACACATAAATAAACATAATTAAAAATTAATCTTGAAAAATAATCAATTAAAAAAAACATTTAAAAGTTAATGAGAGGGAGAAGGTGAGGTTCTTTGGAGAGAGATTTTGTTATTGTGTTAGCTTTTCTTTATTTGTATGTTCGTTCGTTACGGTGGCGCTGGTGGTCAAACCCAGAATCTCATGCGCACCACTGTTAGACTGCTGAGTTATCCTCCCACCCCTCAGATAATTTGTTCTTTTGAGACAGAGTCTCACTGTATAGGCCAAGCAGGTCTTGAACTGCCAGGCTTCTGGGGTCACCTCCTGCTAGGATTACTATCATAGCAGTTGAGACAATTCCTTAACTAACTAGATACTTAGCAAGACCTTCAGAAAACCAAATGTTCTGTCCACAGTATTTGCCTTTGGTGATGCCCAAGTTTCTCTCTTCCCTCCATTTTCCAATCAACTGGGGCTCTCTGGTCTTTACCTCTTTCTGCTCACTATAAAAATTTGCTAGAAGCAGCAAGAAAGAGCTGAGAGGTCAAAGGTAAGGTCTAGAAAATAGCCTCATCATGTAATCCAGAGCACGCACACACATACACATACTCACGCACACACACACACACACACACACACACTCACGCACGCGCGCAAACACTCACACACCACATAGCAGGCAGGCTGCAGCAGAGCCTCCCACAGCCTCTGCATGCTCAGAATAGGACATCAGCCTCGCTCTGAACCCTTATCAGCACGGGCAAGCATTCTCCCAGAGTTCCTCTGAAGATAGCGCTCTCAGTCCGTGCTCCATATGCTGAGCACATGACAGAACCCCGCCTGACACAAAGATCCCGACTCCTCTGGGACCCAGACAGTGACCTCTGGATGCTTCGTCAGAGAATATGCCCTGTTTGTCCTTAACTCTCCTCAATCCACAGAAACTCGAGTCCTAGGACCACAACGGATACTCGATACTCTCTAGGAGACTTACCTGGTAAAGGGAAGAAGCTGTGTCTTCTAGTGAGACACACTCACTATGACCCCCAAAGCCCTGACAGTAGAGGATACACATGTCTCAGCCTCCAAAACACACTGAGCGCCTGCTTCCTCTGTGCTCACACAGAGGCAATGCCACCTCACCCTCTCTCCAGGTTAGAGACAATATGGGCAGGACAATCAGAGTCTGCTAGAGAGAGTCTCAATCCTTGACGGTAGAGCTGAGACAGTGCCAGATCTCACCTCCAGGTCCAAAGCACATACCCTGTAAGATGTGCCCATCACTTTCAGCATGGCATGCTGACAGATTTCTCGACAGATTTAGGAACTCTGAATTTCTTGAAAAAATGCATAGGTCTGCCACTTCCCTGCTCCCTTCTGAGTCCTCTGTGACCCAAGAGTAAAGTTTTTGCTCTGTCCCTTGCTTTCAGGTTGATTGTATAAATATATATGAAAGAATAAGCAAGACACTAAAGCCCCTTTTCTTTCCTTTTTCTCTCTTTCTCCCCCTTTTCTTGCTCTTTTTCTTCCTTCCTCCCTCCCTTCTTCCCTCTCTCTCTCTCTCTGTCTCTCTCTCTCTCTTTCTTTCTTCTGAGACGTGGTCTCTCTATGTAGTCCTGACTGTCTTGGAACTCAATACACAGACCAAACTGTCCCTTGAGCTCACAGAGATTCTTCTGGCATCTGACTCCTGAGTGCTGGGATTAAATACACATGCCACCATACCTGGCCCTAAAGCCCTTTTTTCAAACATAACTAGGATGAGGCAAAGACTTAGCGCACTTGCTGGAGTAAGTAGCGAGCATGCATGAAGCCCTGGGTTGGATACACAGCACCGTGTAAATGGGGTGTGGCAGGGCATGCCTGTGGTCTAGCACCTGGGAGATGGGAGGGTCATCATAAGACCACGGTTAGCCTTTCGTACGTAGTAATTTCAAAGCCTGAGATGCAGAAGATCTGGCACCAAAGAACAAAGTGCCTATCTTTTTCTCCAGTCTCCAGTTGCCGATTCCTACTTAGAGTCCCACATCCATTCTAGTGTTATTGTTTATCAATTAAAGGGATGGAGGCGTAGCTCAGAGGCCCTGTATTGTGTAGCATGCTTGAGGCCCTATACTGGATTCCCGACAACACACCCACAAGTGAAAAAAAAAGTCTTAAAATTCAAAAAAGCTTGATTTTAAGATAATTCGATGAATTAATCACCGCGTTAAAAAAATGATTGCCCTGGGGCTGGACAAGATGTCTCATCAGGGAAACAGGTACAGGTGCTTGCCGCCAACCCCGAGGACCTGAGTTCAATTCCCGGTCCTCACATGGTGGGAGGAGAGGCCTGAAAGTCATCCTCTTATCTGGACACACATACTTTGTCACACGCACACACATGTACACACACACTCACACATAAATATAAGTGAAAAACATTTTAAACGATTGTTTACTTGCCCTAAGAAATACAAAAATCAGTATTGGAAAGAGTGTTGGCATCCTGAACCAGAGGTAGACCCCGGGCCCACATGAAGCTGATGGAAGGCCAGCAGAGTGCCAGCTCCCAGGACAGCAGAGCCTGCTGTTACGTATTTTAAATTAATAACTTAAAACGTCTGTCCCCACAGCAGCGAACTTCCCTTTGTCTCCAGATAAATGCTGCTGCAGACTTCAAAAAGCAGACGCACTTACTCGCAGGAGCCATGGTGGCAACAGACTCTGCCCCGAGCCTCTGGCCTGGCTTCAAGGGCCAGGAAGGAGGACAGCCCCCAGCACTGTCAAGCAGGGTGCCCAAGTTAATAATTGGCTCTGCCAATGGCAGATCAGGCTGTTTTTGTGTGCCTGTTTTGCTATTTTACGTAAATCACCCTGAACATGCTTGCATCAACCTACTGATGATGCACCTTTGATCAATAGATTTTAGACAAAAGTGGTTTTCGAGTCCAAAGATCAGGGCTGGGTTGACCTACAGACTGCATCCAGGGCATATAAAACAGGGGCAAGGCGCAAACTGATAGTAGAGCAATCACCACCAAGCTTGAGCTCACTGCACGGGCTCGGCTGCCAGCTTCCTGCGGTACCAGCAGAGTGAGGATGGAGGAGGGAATGAACGTTCTCCACGACTTTGGGATCCAGTCGACCCGCTACCTCCAAGTGAATTACAAAGACTCCCAGGACTGGTTCATCTTAGTGTCTGTGATCGCTGACCTCAGGAATGCCTTCTATGTCCTCTTCCCTATCTGGTTCCATCTTCGAGAAACTGTGGGCATCAAACTCCTTTGGGTGGCAGTGGTGGGGGACTGGATCAACCTCGTCTTTAAGTGGTAAGAACCATGCGAAGGGGTGCTTGGCGGGGGGAAAGAGGCTGTGTTCTTGCTAGAAATGGCTGTCCTCCAGCAGGGGCACTTCTTACCAAGCCACAGGCTAGACCTCCCTTGACTTGAGAGTATCATCAGAAAGGAAAAAGATAGCAGGAACCCCACCAGGGCCTGGAAATGGGGAAAGTCTGTTTTATCTGACCTGCAGGAGCGGAAGGACAGCTGAATTAAATGAAAAGTCCGAGTGTAGTCTTTGCTATACTTTATTACTTTGAGATAGGGTCTTGTGTAGCCCAGGCTGACCTCAAACTTACTAGGCAAGAGACAGTGAATGACCTTGAATTTCTCTTGTCTCTACCTCCTGAATGCTGGAATTATAGGTGTGAACGCCCACGTGCAGGTTAACATTCTGGCGATTGAACCTGGGGCTCTGTGCATGATAGCATGCTCAAAGCATGTCCATGATGCTTGACTGGGCCAACTGAGTTGCATCTCCAGCCCCTGCATACAGGTTTTAAAGAAACAGTTTTGCTACTTTGAGGAAGGATGGTCGCCATAGAAATAGATGTAGGAAAGAAGCAGGGAGGCTGGGAAGAGGAAGCCAATGGCTCTTAACCTTTTGGCTACCCAGGTAGCCGGGACCTGATTCTGCCACCTTGCAACTGTACGTTCTTGGAAAGCTGCATGAATTCTCTGAGCTTCTGTAATTCAGAGTCTGTAAATTTTTGACTCTCTCCAGAATCTTAATAATAATCACAGTGGGTATTTATTGAGTAGTTACTATGTGCCAGGCTCTGTGTGTGTGTGTGTGTGTGTGTGTGTGTGTGTGTGTTGTGCGTGTGCGCGTGCACGCACATGTTCTATCACTGAGGAGCGCCCTCAGCCCAGGCCTTGGGCTTTTCTGTGGAGACGCTATTTATGTTACAGGCCAGAGGGCAAGGTTATGAGTTCACCGGTGGGATGAACACGGTTCCTCCCGAGCAGAGGCTGCCAGTGCTCTGAAGAACTAAGTTAGAGCTAGCGGTGGGGGTGAGACAACAACCCTGACTTCTAACACTGGCCAGGCACCATTGTGTAAATTTTCCCATCACAGTAATATTTAAGCTATTGATGCTTCTTGTTTGAAAAGAATCAATGAATGTTGGTTTGGCCTGTTTCCTCAGCTAGAAAATGAAGAGGACCAGCTTCCCCATTCATAGAATCGTCTGTGTCTGTTACCAGGTGATGTGTGTGTGTAGACATGGTCACATGTGTACATGTATGTGCCTGTGTTTGTGGAGCCAGAGCAGTCATTCCTTAGAAACTTTCTGAGTCAGGGTCTGGGACTGGACTGGAGCTCGCTGAACAGATCAGACCCTGGGGATCCACTGGCTGTGTGCCCACTGATGTACACCATCATGCCTAGGTTTTGGGTTTTGTTGTTGTTGTTGTTTTGATCAGTTCTGGTGATGGAATTCAGGGCCTCCTGTTTTCATAGCAGGCACTTGACCTCCTGAGACATCTCCTGGCCCCTGGCTCCCTGCTTTGCTTGTGGACTTTTTGTTTACTTGTTTGTTTTGTTTTGCTTGTTTTTCGAGACAGGGTTTCTCTGTAGCTTTGGAGCCTGTCCTGGAACTAGCTCTTGTAGACCAGGCTGACCTCAAACTCACAGAGATCCGCCTGCCTCTGTCTCCCAAGTGTTGGGATTAAAGGCGTGTACCAATATGCCTGGCTTTTCAGGCATTTTTTTTGTGTGTTTTTTAAGATGGGGCGTGGGGGAAGATACACAGTGATGAGAAATTATCTCATTCTGTAGCCCAGGCTACCCTGGAACTTATTAAATAGTCCAGCCTGGTCTTGACTCAAGCCTCCTCTCAAGTGCTAGGATGACAAGTGTGAGCCACCATGCCTAGGTAATTTGTTTGTTCTTCAATTCTAGAGCTGAATTCAGATCAGAGTCTTATGCACACTCTTTATTACTAAGCTGTAGCCTCAGCCCCATGGGATTTTCTTCTTAAAGGACAAGGTCTCTTACTGTGTAGCCTGGACAGGCCTACAACTTGTAACCCTCAAGCTTCAGGTTCCGGGGGCTCGGAGTAGAGGTGTGTTCAACTATACCCTGTTGTAGGGCATTCTTTGCTTTGTTTTTGAGTCAAGGACTCATGTGACATTGGTTTACCTGAAACTCAGTAAGTAACTGAAGATCACTGTGAATTTTTAATCCTACTCTTCTATCAAACAAGAGCTAGGATTACAGATGTGTGCCTCCCTGCCTGGCATGTATGAGTCTCTGTGTGTGTGTGTGTGTGTGTGTGTGTGTGTGTGTGTGTGTTGCATGCATGCCTCAGCATGCAGTTGGAGGTCAGAAGACAGCTTGCAGGAATCTATCCTTTCCTTCCACTATGTGGTTACCAAGGATACAGCTCAGGCTGTCAGGCTTAGGGGCAAGTGTCTTTACTTGCCAGCCATCTTGTTGGCTCTCTCCTGGTGATTCTTAAGATCTGCCTCCACTTCTCATATTCCTTAGCCAAAAATAGTAAAAGTCCCTAAGAGTAGAACAAATTGGGTTCCAGATTGAATGTAGGGCCTCAAACATGCTGATCAAGGTGAGGGGGCGGCTCAGTCAGTAAATGTTTCTCTTGTAAATCCAGGGACCTCAGTTCAGTCTCCCGAACCCATGTGGAAATGCTGGGCATGGTGGCATGCATTTGTAATCCCAACACTGGGGAGGTGAAGACAGGCTGTCTTAGGGTGTCTACTGCTGTGAAGAGACACCATGACCACTGTAACTCTTTAAAGGAACACATTCAATCGGCACTGGTTCACAGTTCCAGAGGTATTATCATCATGGCGACAAGCAAGGCGGCACGCAGGCAGGCATGGTGCTAGAGAAGGAGTTGAGAGTTCTACATCTTGACCCCCAGGCAGCAGGAGACTGTACACCACACTGGGCATAGCTTGAGCATTTGAGACCTCAAAGCCTGCTCCAGTAGTGACACACTTCCTCCAACAAGGCCACGCCTCCTAATAAGGCCATTCCCTATGTGTCAAGCATTTAAATACATGAATCTACAGGGGTCATACCTATTCCAAACATCACACAGGTAGAACTCTGGAGCTAATCTAACCTGATTGGTGAGCTTCAGGTCAGTGAGAGACCTCATGTCAAGAAGGCAGATGGCCTTTTGGAGGTTGTCCTCTGACCTTCACACCCTTGGGCACACACACACACATTAGAGAGTTTGGGGGAATGGTAAAGGAGAGAGAAAGGGAGGGAGCAGGACCTTGCTGTATTGCCTAGGCTAGCCCCAAAGTCTTGGTCTGAAGTGATTCTCCTGCATCAGCCTTCCAAATAGCTAAGCCCACTACTGCATCTGATTTTGGGAGCTACTTGTTTATGTTTGGGTAGATAATATGTTCACCTGTCAAAATTTCAGAACTTGCCAGGTGGTGGTGGCGCACGCCTTTAACCCCAGCACTTGCGAGACAGAGGCAGGTGGGTCTCTGTGAATTCAAAGCCTGGTCTACAAAGCAAGTTCTAGGACAACCAGGGCCGTTACACAGAGAAACCCTTTCTCAAAAAAGATTTTCTTTCTCAAGTTATCTACTGTGTCACACAAAGTCTTCCCAGGCCCTCTCCCCAGGCAAAGGGAGATACATACCTCCAAAGGGGACAAATATGCCAGCTTCTTCCTCTTTGAAAGTGTGGGCTTCCAGCGAAATCATGCACGGGGTCACTCAGACACTGGTTCTACTTTCCACAGGATTCTTTTCGGGCAGCGCCCATACTGGTGGGTCCTGGACACGGACTACTACAGCAACACCTCGGTGCCTCTGATCAAGCAGTTCCCTGTCACCTGTGAGACTGGACCAGGTGAGAGTCCCAGCCCTTCTGAGCCGAGGTGGACATCGTTCTTCATAGACATGCCCCAACATCCTTTGCGGATGGGGGTCTGAGGACACCCATGGCTCATAGACCTGCCCCAACATCCTTTGCGGATGGGGGTCTGAGGACACCCATGGCTCATAGACCTGCCCCAACATCCTTTGGGGATGGAGGTCTGAGGGCATCCATGGCTCATAGACATGCCCCAACATCCTTTGTGGATGATGCCGACCTTGGGGAGTCTGAGGACATCCATTGCTTCATCCTTTTATCACCATTCAACCTGTCTTCCATTAGTGCGATATCACCTTAATTCATGGCAGCAGGGCCTTCCACTGCTAGTGAGGAAATCTGAGTGACACTTCCAGGATTAAAGTTCCTAGCCCAAGAGAGGCTGGGCCACACCCACAGGCAAAAGACTAGTCAGAGTAACTGAGTCATAGCCTGGTATCCAGAGAGGAGAAAGTGACTGATAGAAGCCGGAGGCCTTATTGTCCCTCCCAGCAGCCTGGCCTAGTGTACTTGGTCCTCTAAGCTGACCATTCCATCCCTCAAGCTACCCAAGGTTTTTGTCTTATTTTGGGGAGGTTGGGGAGGTGGAGGTTTTCTGTTCTGCCGGTCAGCTCTGTCCTGCCAACTGGCTCCCAAATAACCATACAAAGACTTAGTTATAAATGCTTGTCTGGTAGCTTAGGCTTATTACTAACTAGCTCTTACATCTTAAATTAACCCATATTTCTTATCTACACTCTACCACACGATGGTACTTTTTTCAGCACAGCACATTGTTCCTGCTTCTCTGTCTCCTTGTGACTTCTCGTGACTCTGCCCTTCTTCTTCCCAGCATTCTCTTAGTCTGTCTCTCCTGCCTAACTTCTTTCTGTCTAGCTATCGGACAGTCAGCCTTTTATTAAACCAAATCAGAAGGTGCCTTGGCAAAAACACATCCTCATAGTGTACAAAAAGATTATTCCATAATAGGGTTGATATGGGATTCCCCTCTGTATGCTATGAATATGTTTTATTACCATTGGTTAATAAAGAAGCCACTTTGACCTATGGCAGGGCAGAATATAGGTAGATGGGAAAACTAAACTGAATGTAGGGAGAAAGAAGGCAGAGTCGGGTATAAACCATGTAGCCTCCTAAGAATCAATAGTTAACAATCCATGAGATTTTTTGGTAAAATACAAAATAATAGAAATGAATTCATATAAGATGTAAGGGTTAGTTAATAAGAAGCCTGAGCTAATAGGCCAAAGACTATGTAATTACTATTAAGCCTCAGAGTGGTTATTTCATAAGACTTCAGGAGCTAGTGAGCAGGACCTGGTAGGTGGAGAGAAACCAGTCCAGGGGGACCAGCAGATTGGAGAATATTTGTAGCTACACGAGGTTGTTTCTTTGTTATGAGGTAGTTTCTCAAATAGGCCAACTAGTCCTAAACTCACTATGTAATTGAAGAGGACCTTGAACTTCTGATCCTCCTGCCTCCCCAACCCTCCTGAGATAGCAGATGTGCCAGGATTCTGTGCATGCTATGCAAGTACTCTATCAACTGAACCACATCCCTGGACCAACCTGTGATTTGTTAGTTATAGCAAGATAGGAATTGTTAGGTCAAACGACAAGACTTTTTTTAATATTGGGTATTAGAAATATCCAATAAGTCCTTCCCAGAAAGTCTCAGTGCTACCGTCCCTTCCTCAGGATCCCTTTTCTCGCCTACTGCTAGAAGAGACATCTCAGATGTTTAGTCTCAGAGACCAGTGGTTTTTACTGAGCATCTACCATGTCCCAAGCCCTGTTCTAGATGCCTGAGATTCCTTTGCTGATGAACAAAACAAAGATCCTGGACAAAGAGCTGAAATTTGAAGGGGGCTTTGTGTCAGTGTACAAAAATCATAATAAATCAGTAAAACAGAATATTAGAATATGATCATTTGAGTGCAAAAAGAAGAAAGGGAAGAGAGAAGAGGAGGCTGGAGAGATGCTTGTGCAGTTAAGAACACTAGCTAATCTTCAAAAAAAAAAAAACCCAGGTTCAATTCCAAGCATACACATGGCATCTCACAGATATCTGTAAGTTCCATTTCAGGGGCTCCAGTGCTTCTAAGGATACTTCATGCACATGGAAAACAGACATTCATGCAGGGGAAACATACATACACATATTTTTTTTAATAAGAGAGGAGAGAGAGTTTGTCCATGAGATTTCCTGGAATGCTGACTGGAGTAGAGAGGAGAGAACAGCTGATAACTCTCCAGAGCCACAGTTGTGCAGGGGTAGGGATGTGTTGATGGGCAGATGGAGAAGTCCAGGTGGGACTAATTCTCCCTTGACTCCACAAGGAGCTCTCAAACTAGAGATGTCTCTTAATACAGCTCAGTTATGGGATACAGGCTATACCTAGGCATAGGGGGTAACCTTAACCAAGGTGACTGTCTTCAGCCCAAAGCCATGCCCACAAAAAGCTGAGAGTTAAGGACAACCTACAACTATGCTCTCAGCAGTGGGAAAACCATCATTCTGTCTAGGAGGGGTGGCAGATCTCGGAATTGGAAACAACTGTAAAAATGGTCAGAATAGGTCTCATTGAAAAGGCAAAATCTAGGGGGCTGGAGAGATGGTTCAGCTGTTAAGAGCACTAACTGCTCTTCCAGAGGTTCTGAGTTCAATTCCTAGACCCCATGATGACTCACAGTCATCTGGGATCTGATGCCCTCCCCTGGTGTGCAGGTGTACATGCAGATATATATATATATCTTAAAAGAAAGAAAAAGAGCCAGGCAGTGGTGGCACACACCTTTAGTCCCAGCACTCCCCACACTCAGTAGGCAGAGGCAGGTGATCTCTGTGAGTTCATGGCCAGCCTACAAAGCAAGTTCCAGGACAGCCAGGGATGTTACACAGAGAAACTCTGTCTGGGAAAAAAAAGAAAGAAAGAAAAGAAAGAGAAAAGAAAAGCTGAAATCTGAGTCAAGACTTTAAGAGACAAGGGAATTAACCAGAGGAATTATGGGAGAAGAGCATGCCTGATATGTTTAGAGGCAAGCATCGAGGCAGCATGGCCAGAGCAGCGTGAGAAGGAAAACAGAAGCGAACTGATGGTGGTCAGATTGACGTGTAATTTACCAATGTCCTGATTCCTGTGCAATCTCCAGACCTTCTGAAACAACGAAGTCAGAGGACGACCTCCCCACTCTACTCCCCAATCCTTGCACAGTCCTGGCGCATAGTGTGAATTCAGTTTGTTAAATAATTGAATTATAGATAAATGAGTGGAGAATAAAAAGGATGGATAGTTAGATGGAAGGCATGGTTAACGGATGGGTTGATGGATAGTTAGATGGAAGGCATGGTTAATGGATGGGTTGATGGATAGTTAGATGGAAGGCATGGTTAATAGAAGGGCTGATGGATAGTTAGATGGAAGGCATGGTTAATGGAAGGGTTGATGGATGGGTGAATGTGTGAATGATACCTTGGCCGTCTCACACGGATACCTTTTCATCTTTAGTCCATTCTCTTTTCTGCCATCTAGGGAGTCCTTCTGGCCATGCAATGGGCGCAGCAGGTGTATACTACGTGATGGTCACTTCTACCCTTGCTATCTTTCGTGGAAAGAAAAGGCCAATGTACGGATTCCGGTAAGAACTCACCCCTGGGGATGCGGGTGAGCAGGAAGCTGTGTACGGTCGCCAACAGTTGTTCTTCCTACTTCCCATGGCCCATTCTCCCACATGCAGCTGGCACTAGTAAGAATCGTAGCACCTACGCTATGAGTGAACATCAGGGTCACGGAATGCTAGGGCGAGCAGGAACCCACTAGGGTAGCCCTTGACTTAGACAAATAAAGCTTACCACCATAAATAAGACTTCAAAAGATCATCTAGAGCATCAATTCTCAAGACCTGCGGGTCATGACCCCTTTGGGATTGAATATCAGATTTTTATATTACAATTCATAAAACAGTAGAAAAATTACAGTTCTGAAGTAGCAACAAAATAATGCTATGGTTGGGGGATCACCACAACAGGAAGAACCATATTGAAGGGTGGCAGCATTAGGTAGCTTGGGAACCACTGATCTACAGAGAGTGACGGAGCTTAAATTAGATTCATTATTTCATCCTTTCATTTATGGGTTTGGTTCCGGTGTTCAAACTCAGGACTTGGGCATGCTGAATAGCTACTCTATCGCTGAGCTGTATCTCCAGCTTTAAGAAAGAAGGTCAGGCCATGATTGTGGGATCTTTAATCCCAGCTCTCTGGAGGCAAAGGCAGGTGAATTCAGGATGGCCAGGGCTACAGAGAAACTCTGTCTTGAAAAACAAAACAAACAAACAAACAAAATCCTACTTTTGTACCAGCCTAGAGTCACCTCATAGGTGAAAATAAACAGACATAGGATGTTCTTAATTGCCAGGCAGTGGTGGCACACATCTTTAATGCCAGCACTTGGGAGGCAGAGGCAGGTGGATCTCTGGGAGTTTGAGGCCGGCCTGGTCTATAAGAGCTAGTTCCAGGACAGGCTCCAAAGCTACAGATAAACCCTGTCTCAAAAAACCAAAAATAAATAAATAAATAAAGCACACACACACACACATATATATATGTATATGTATGTATATATATGTGTGTGTGTATATATATATATATGGACTAGAGAGAAGGTTCAAAGATTAAGAACACTGGAGGCTCTCCAGAGGACCCGGGCTCAGTTCCCAGCACCCATATGGTGGTTAACAATGGTCTACAACCCTAGTTCCAGGAGATCTGACTCCTCTTCTAACCTCTGTGAATACAAGGCATGCACATGGTATATAGACATACATGCAGGCAAGACACATATACACATTAAAACAAAATAGTATAAGTGATCCAGACAAGGTGGCACCTGAGAAGTGGGGTGTAACATGACGGCTGGCTTGTTGGGGTACCTGTCCCGCCTGGTACCCCACAACCGGCAAGTCCCAGAGAAAATCAATCACACAGAGATCTCTATAAGTTATAAAGCTGATTGGCCCATTAGGTCAGGCTACTTATTAGTTCTTATAATATATATTACCCCATTATCCTTATCTACGTTAACCATATGGCTTGGTACCTTTTTCAGCTTTCAGCTCACATGTTGCTTCTCTGGTAGTTTGCGCAGAAGTGGCAGAGGGAGCTTCCTGCTTCCCAGAATACTCCCAATCTCTTTGCTCCACCCCTACTTCCTGTCTGGCTTTCCCACCTATACTGCCTGCCTGGCCAATCAGTGTTTTATTAAAATATGATTGACAGAATACAGACAATTCTCCCACACCAGCGGGGATCAGGAGTTGGAGATCAACCTTGGCTACATAGCGAGTTTGAAGCCCACCAGGGCTATATAAGACCCTTCTCAAGAAAAATAAAAGATAAAAAACCCTCAGGCTATAGAGATGGCTCGGTAGGTCAAAATACTTGCTGTGAGATCCTCATAAAGGTGAAGGAGAAAGCCAGCCCCACAAAGCTGTCTCACTTTCATACACACACAGGGACGCACATGCATTCCACTCCCACATCATATACAGAAACACAGCAATACCAAATTAAAGGATTTTCTTAAAGAAAAAAAAATGACATAAACACAGTCTTAGTTACTTTTCTATTGCTTTGAGGAAACACCATGACCAAGGCAACTTATAGACGGAAGGGCTTGGGGTTTGGTTCCAGAGGGCGAGGGTTGGATCCATCGTGGCAGAGAAGCACGGAGGCAGGAACAGCTGAGAGCTCGCGTGTTGAACGATAAGCAGGAAGCAGAGAGAGAGAGGCCTCAACACTCCTGGCAGCTCTGAGAGTCTTTAAGCCATAACCCGCCCCTACTGACATACTTCCTCCAGCAAGGCCGCTCCTCCTACTCCTACCAAAACAGGGCCACCAACTGGAGACCAAGTATTCAAATGCCTGAGACTAAGAATAAGGGAGGTCTTATTCAAGCCGCCACAAGCACCTCACATTTTTGAGCGTTTGAGCAGGACTCCCAATTTCTAACAATTCCGCTGACGGCACCTCAGTTTTCCGGGCTCCTCCGCTCCGACCAGGGCTGTTTTCTTTGATGAAGGATCAGCATTTGGGTTCTGAAGTGGCTACCTATTCTCTTGCAGGTGTTTGAACATCATCCTGTGGTTAGGATTCTGGGCTGTGCAACTGAACGTCTGTCTGTCCCGGGTCTACCTCGCGGCTCACTTTCCCCACCAGGTTGTGGCTGGAGTCTTGTCAGGTATCCGCAGCTCCGACTCCTTCCCCACCCGCTTCCTATTCCTTCTGGATCTTCCTTGCACAGCGTGGCCTCCCGTACTGTCAATGTTCCGGGGGCTTCAAAGTCAAGGGTGGGTGGGTGGGAGACTAAGGAAGTGGCTTCGTCTATAAACCAGCATCAGGACCTGAATTTGATCCCCAGCACCCACTTCAATAGGCAGCCACAGTAGCACATGACGGTGTTCCCAGAGCTGGGGAGGTAGAGACAGGGGGATCCCTGGAGTTCACTTGGTGAGACTCAGGTTCCAGGGGCAGACCCTATAAGACAAACAAACAAACAAAACCAATGAAGTGGATGCTCCTGAGGAACACCTGCGGCTGACTTCTGGTCTCCACAGCACACGCTCACACACACATGTGTATCCACACACGTAAATACACAAGGACACGATTGAAATTATTAGTTTGCACAGCATTCCTGAGCTAAACTATTAAAGGTATCCTAGAAAAGCTAACTCATCCAACTAAGCATGTCTAAAGTTCCCAAACTTCTTTTTTTCATTTAAAAAAAAAGATTCAGTTGTTTATTGTGTATGCAATGCTCTGCCTCCATATATGCCTGCACACCAGAAGAGAGCACCAGATGTCATCACAGATGGTTGTGAGCCATCATGTGGTTGCTGGGAATTGAACTCAGGACCCCTGGAAGAGCAGTCAGTGCTCTTAACCTCCGCACCATCTCCCCAGGCCCATCCCCAAGCTTCTTACCTTCTTTATTTCTCATTGATCTTCAGTTTGAAGCAGCTCCTCATTCCTTCTCGGTGAACCTATCAAAGGTACAACGACTTGGGAGAGTTCCTTATTGAAAAACATCCATCTGCGGACCTAACAGATGTCTGCAGCTGGTGGGGTTTGTGTGTTTGCATTTTCTGAGATCCAGTCTGTAAGAGAAAGAAAAGATTGAGGTTAAACATTAAAAAACAAAAACAACAGTCTAGATTGAGGCTGGGAGAGGGCAGAGCAGATCAATTGCAAGGGCCTGCGTTTGATCCCTGGAACCCACATGGCAGAAAAGAGCCAACTCCAACTAGGGGTCCTCCAATTTCCACACGTGAGCTGTGGCACGTGTGCCCACACACATATACTCAAACACAAGATAAATGAAATGTGTAAAAAGTAACAATAAAGCTGGACGGCAGTGGTGCACGCCTTTAATCCCAGCACTCGGGTGGCTGAGGCAGGCGAAACTCTCTGAGTTCAAGGCCTACTACAGACTGAATGCTAGGACAGTCAGGGCTGCGCAGAGAAACTTTTTGTCTTGAAAATCCAAAACTAAATAAATAAGTGGATATAAAAATAAAAATGCCCGGTAAAAATGAACATATGCTTGTAGAAGTTATGTTACACAAAAAAATCTGGGGATGTTTTGGCTAGAGAGAATAATGTCATCAACTGCGTGACCAAGGGTTTAAGTGAACAACTTATTAACTTCTGTGAAAGGGACTGTCACCAACACATGGTATTGAACGGTGACAATGGTCTGATGAGATGGCTCAGTGGGTTAAAGCATTTGCTACCAAGCCTGACAACCTGAGTTTGAGCCTGGGACCCACACGGTAGGAAGAACCAGCTCCTGTAACTTGCCCTTTGACCTCCACACAGATGCCATGTCACATATGTGCCTGCCCACACACGAACAGACACACTTACATACACATACTCAACAAATAGATAGATTTGGTGAATTTTAAAACAAGCAAACAAACAATAATAAAAGCAGACAAGTCAATCCAAAACTGAAAGAATGGGCTTGTCTGTGGGAATGCATTCCGCCCCTGAGTGTATGCAAGAAGAAACACACCACACACAACAGGAAACTCCGATTCAGTGGGAAGATGTTTGAGATACGGTTCTTCCATCTGAAAGACACTCCATTGTTGAGGACCTTCCACTCTGGTGTGTGATTTAATTCCGCCCGGTGAGCTGATGGCCTGTCACTCACTCCCACCCCTATTTCTCACAGTGCTTTCTTCTGCACAGGCATTGCTGTGGCTGAAACTTTCAGCCACATCCGGGGCATCTACAACGCCAGCCTCAGGAAATATTGTCTCATCACCTTCTTCCTCTTTGGCTTCGCACTCGGATTTTACCTGCTGTTGAAAGGCCTGGGGGTAGACCTTCTGTGGACCTTGGAGAAAGCCAAGAGATGGTGTGAGCGGCCGGAATGGGTCCACCTCGACACCACGCCCTTTGCCAGCCTCTTCAAAAACCTGGGGACCCTCTTTGGGTTGGGGCTGGCCCTCAACTCCAGCATGTACCGGGAGAGCTGCAAGGGGAAACTCGGCAAGTCGCTCCCGTTCCGCCTTGCCTGCATCGTGTCCTCCTTGGTCCTCCTGCACCTCTTTGACACTTTGAGACCCCCATCCCAGATTGAACTGCTCTTCTACGCTTTGTCTTTCTGCAAGAGTGCGACAGTTCCCTTTGCCTCTGCCAGTCTCATCCCCTACTGTCTAGCCCGGGTTCTGGGCCAGACGCACAAGAAGTCTTTGTAAGGCACGTGAAGGCTTTGGTATTTAAAGTCAACGACCTTGCAAAGGACTGGGGACTACCAAAGCCTTCGGCATCCTGAGGTCAGAGGTGTTCACATCAGCCCCGGTATCCCTGTCTTTCTCTGCTATCTTAACCAAAAAGGTGAAATTTTAAACGCTAACGGGGCTGTTTGAGAAAACCTTGAGAACTGGAAGTTGGGTCATTCTGGAATTTTTCCTGAAGGCCCACTTACCATTCTCCTGTCAGACATAGAAGAGCAAGCCCAGGCCAGAGATCCTGACTGAGAATTCTCTCCCTGTGCAAGATACCCCCAGCTGGGGAAAGAGCACAGTGCGTTTGCGAGGAAGAGAAAGAAGGACCAGGAGGAGGGGGGAAGTGTTTTCTGTATTGAACAAATCACAAGCCAAGCCATGTGTAAATGGCTTCAGCTATGTCTGAGTCTTTAGAGAGGACACTCTTGATCATGGCAGACCACCTTAAAGTGAAGTGAGCAGTCAGTTAAAGGCGGGAATTCTGCTTCCTGCTTTTCTCCGCTGGGTGCTGGTCGTACTGAATGACTATGGTGATTATGTCACTACATAAGTCAAAGCACACAGGCATCAGCAACGGCTCGGTCTGTCTCCTCCTCAGCCTATGTCTGCATTCCCTAGAATTCTCCCCTGGTTCCCTGCCCCTGCGGCTGGACCCTCAGATGTCCGGCGGACAACTGTTTGGTGGTGCTTTTTGTAGGGTTAAGTTAAACTCTGAAATCTTGGGCAAAGGGGCAAATGGAGAGCCAGGATCCTCTCTTCAGAAGGTCACTCCGATGTTATTCATGATTCCTGGAGCAGAAATATGACTGCTTTCTCTAGCCCAAGCCAGCCAAGAACTCATTCTTAGAGAAAAAGCCAGCTCCCCCGTGCCTGTTTTCCAACCTTCTCTGATTTGCAGAGTACATCTTCAAAAAGAAAAAAAAAATGTTGTAGCTATTTATTCAAAATGTCTTATTTTGCTACTGATGCGGGAGAATTGTCTGTATTCTGTCAATCATATTTTAGTAAAACGCTGATTGGCCAGGCAGGCAGTATATGTGGGAAAGCCAGACAGGAAGTAGGGGTGGAGCAAAGAGACTGGGAGTATTCTGGAAGCAGAAGCTCTCTCGCCACTCCTGCGCAGACCACCGAAGAGGCAGCATGTAACTTGCCCAGCTTAGAAAGGTATGGAGCCATTATGGCTAACATAGATAAAGAATAATGGGTTAATATAAGTTATAAGAGTTAACAAGAAGCCTGACCTAATGGGCCAATCAGTTTATAACCTTATGGAGTCTTGTGTGTGATTTTCTTTGTTGCTTGCCGGCTGTTGGAGTACTGGGAGGGATAGAAACCCCAACAAGCCAGCCCTCATGTTACATGCTACATGTAATATTATATATATTCTCATTCTCACCCACACATGCTCCCTGTTCCTAACATCTTGGAAAACTACAGGTATGTAGTATTTTATTAAAAGAACATTTTATTTAAGAATGGAGTCTTGCTTATTACTCTATTTTATTTTGCCTTTATTATTTTTCTTTTTATTTTATGTGTATGGGCATTTTGTCTGCATGTATGTCTGTGCACCATGTTCTTGCCTGCTGCGTACAGATTCCAGAGGAGGGCATCGGATCTCCTAGAATTGAAGCTGCAATTGTTGTGAGTTGCCATGTGCATGCTGGGAATTGAACCCAGTCCTTATAACACATGCAGAAATATCAAGCATGGTTGTACACATCTGTAATACCAGCGATGGTAAGATGTGAGCTTAGCTTAGGAGGTGACATTCCAGGCCAATGAGAGATCCTGTCTCAAAAGATGGAAGATGTTTAAAAAAACAACACCACACACACAAAGAAAAGTACATGATAGGAAAAAAGATCTATCACAAGCTGGCTAAGAGGAACCTAAAGGGCCATCTTCCCTCCTGGGAGGCTTACTCAAAGGCAGTTTATATAGGAAATACAGATTGCAGACTGATGGGCACATAGCTGAAGATTTGTATTCAAAGCACACCCAACTAATCCTCAAGTAAGATGCCTTTCAATTCTGCAAATCTCAAGAACAAAGATCAGTTGAACCTAGTTAGCACAAATCTTTAATCCCCAACACTCAGGAGATTTGCTAGTTCAAGACTAACCTGAACTGCAGAGCAAAACTGCAGAGCAAACTCAAGACCAGGCTGAACGATTTAGTGAGACCCTGTCTCAAAGTGAAAAAAATAAAATAAAAGGGCTGGGAGATGGCTCAATTGTTAAAGTGCAAGCGTCATGACCTGAGTTCGGTGATCAGCACCCATGTAAAAGCCAGGGGCAGTGGCACATGATGTAATCCCATAGAGAGGGAAGTGGAGACAGGAGGATTCCTGGGGCGTCTTACCCAAAGGAAACTCCGTTTCCCCAAATTCTAAAAGGCAGAAGGGACAAATGCCTGTGGTGCTTATTAGCTCACCAAAGTGCATGCTGGCTGCCAGCTCCCTCTTATCACGAGTACATGGTACAGATCTCGAAGGCCATACCAGTATCTTAGGTCGTCCCATCTCCTTTAGCTTAACCTCCCTCCAGCTCACTGGCTTCCGTCCCCCAGCTATGCATCCTCCTTATAACACTGCTATTTTGACTACTGCTCACTCTCTGTCTCCCTCCTCTTCCCATACTTTCCCTCTCTCTACATCTCTCTCTGTGTCTGTCTTCTGCACTCTGTCTCCCTTCTCCTCCTATCTCTGCTCTCTCTCTCTCTCTCTCTCTCTCTCTCTCTCTCTCTCTCTGTTCTGTGATGGCCAAAGTTCTGTTTTATGTTTAAGTTGCTCTGCTTTATTGATTCATAAAGCAAATCTGTGAGCCCCATTTTCCCACAGACAGATGACTTCCTGGAATGCTGGGAGCTGCTGTTCTTGTAAGATAACGAGCCATGTGTCTTCACTTCTGTAAACAACATGGGTTGTCCCAACTGCAGGATGTGCTCGATCACATGCAGGCAGAAGCTACGTAGGCAGGGAGTATGCCAGGATGTGTGCTTGCCCCATTGGATGAAAGGGGAAAGGACGAAGCTTTCGCCTTTATAAGCACTGGACTAACATAATTTGCAGTCATTCTCTGGAAATCCCAGGTATGGACATGGCCAGTGTCCCTCATCCTGTCCAGTATTTATAATAAAGTTTGCTTGAAATTTGGTTCAAAATTTGTAGTATTGGTCTTATTCTTGTTGGATGGGACTAACAGTTCTCTCTCTCTCTCTCTCTCTCTCTCCTGCTCCTGTTTCTCTCATGGCCAGGTCCAGAGTGCTGCTCATGTCCAGTCTACTACCTTCTCTGTTCTAGACTCTTCCAGATAGCTCTGGATATTTTCTCTATCATATCTACAATAAAACCTTCCCTTCAACCATACCAAGGAGTGATCATGTCAGTTTACACACTATATATATAGTCTGAGTTGGTGAGTTCCAGATTCAAAGAGAGATTCCACCTCTGGTGTAGGAGTTTCTTCTGTTTGTGTGTTGCTTTCATTGGTTAATGAATAAAGAAACTGCCTTGGCCTAGTTGATAGGGCAGGACTTAGGTAGGTGGAGAAAATAGAAGTGAATGCTGGGAGGAAGAAAGCAGAGTCAGGGAGAAGCCATGGATCCTCTGCCTGAGATGGATGCCCGTTAGAAACTCTGGTAAGTCACTGCCACATGGCGATACACAGATTAATGGAGATGGGTTAAACTAATATGTAAGAATTAGTCAATAAGAAACTAGAGCTAATGGGCCAAGCAGTGTTTTAATTAATACAGTTTCTGTGTAGTTATTTCAGGTGTAAGCTAACCCGGAGTCCGGAACAACCAAGCAGCCCTCTCTCTTGCAACACACCTCAAAAAAAATATAAGGTAGAGAGTAATTGAGGAAGACACCCAACACTGACTACTGCTACACACACACACACACACACACACACACACACACACAGGTTGGGGATCTAGCTTAGTGACCAGAGTATCTAGCGTATGTAAGGCTGTTACAGAGATGGATACTTTACATTGGTATGGATCTTGGTTTATTGAAACAAGTTTTAGGTCAATTTTGTTATATGTATATTTCTGCTCTTGATTAAAGTATCATGCTTGTGTAGCTCATTGAAAAATGTAATGTATAATTAAAAATATAGGTTAATAGATAATATCTGTAATAGTCAAGCTTGTAGTCATGTTAGTTAGATTTTCTAGATGTATAGAGATATATTTCAGCTAGATAGGTATTCTTCAAATCTTTCAGAGACCTTCAGAATATGGCATTTAAAATGTTTAAGAACTTGGGCTGGAGAGATGGCTCAGATGTTAAGAGAACTATCTGTTTTTCTGGAGATCCTGAGTTCAGTTCCCAGCAGCCACATGATGACTCACACCCATCCATAATGAGATCTGGTACCCAGAACACTATATACATAATAAATAAATTTTAAATAAAAAAGATTTCTGATCCATTTAAAAAAAATGTTTAAGAACTTAAAACTTTTCATGACAGTGAGACACATCTGCTCCTGGCAGCACCAAGTTACTTCAAGAGGATGATGGGCATCGAAGAGGCTCTTTATGAAGTTGGTTAGCCATTTGGGCAAGAAACTTCTCTTGCCTGGACTTCTTGACTGGGCATGCAGAACCCACAGAGAAATGACTGCTGAACTTACCTAAAGGTGAGATGATCCTTCAGGGTTCCTGCTTACTGAAAAAGTCTGCCTGACATTCTGCAGGACACAGAAGAAGTGATTGACAAACAGCCAATATAGGCTGGACTGTCTTTGAAATTTCCTGCTTCATAGGAAAGTCTGCTGGATACTGTGGGCCTGTAGGCTGAAGATGGATGCCCCAACGGTACAGAATCACTTTGGGTGACTGTCCAGGCAGTGAGATGTCTCTGTCAAGTCTAGAATTTTGGAAGTTGCTTACAATACACTTCCTGTTTACTTAGGTAATATTATATCCTTCTGGAGTCGTTGATGGGATTGAAGAATTTATAGTTATAGTTATAGTTTTCCCTAGTTATGATAAAAAATAAAGTAGATATAAATATTATAACTATAATTCTTGCTTGATATGTGTTTTGTTATATGTAATTTTACTATATTAAAGTTAAAACCTTCCTTTTTATTTAAACAGGAGAGGGGAGGTGATGTGGGATTTCCCTCTGTACAACTGATTAATAAAGGAACTGCTCTGAACCTATAGCAGAGCTATAGGGGAACAGAGGTAGGCGGGGAAAACTAAACAGAATGCTGGGAGAAAGAAGGGTGGAGTCAGAGAGATGCCATGTAGCCCCACCGGAGACAGACACCGGAACTTTAGCCGGTAAGCCATAGCCACGTGGCGATACACAGATTAATAGAAATGTGTTAAATTGAGATATAAGAGTTAGCCAATAAGAAGGTAGAGCTAATAGGTCAAGCAGTGATTTAATTAATGTAGTTTATGTGTGATTACTTTGGGGCTAAGTGGCCAGGAACCAACAAGCGGCACCTCCCTCCAACATAAGGCCATAGGTTCAGCCCTCTAACATCAAAAGCAGTGAGGGCGAGAGTTTTATTTCTTGAAATTCTTCTGGTCCCATTTTCCCACGTGCAGCTCCTGACATGTTATGCAAATGTTATACAATGGACAGGCTGGGTGGGCAGGGCACCTTCCTGAAGGCTCGCTTGATGATATTAAACTCACCTGTTAATTATTATGAATGACAAAGGTCGGGTGAGGTTAAGTGAGCAGGCTGACCACAAGTTGGCCACGCTGCCAAGCTTCAGAACTGCAAAGATAGCCTTGGCCCAGACAGCATACTAGTTACCAGGCCACAGGTCAGCCAGAGTTGTTCAGGGATCACATTACAACTTGAGGGAGGGTGAGGGAAGAGCCACTGCCAAGTGAAGCAATGGTCATGCGTGCAAGAGTGGATGAGTGGGAGGGGACAGGACTAGACGAGTGGTTGCTGGCAGCAAGGATTAGGGTTATAGGTAAAGAAAGCCTAAGGCCACTCAGCTCAAAACACTCAGAAACCTCGGGGGAACTACAGCAAGTTTCTGTTGGACAATTTATTTCATCTCAGTTCACAGTTCCACCTCCAAAGCCACTCCCTACCCCCTCATCACCATCACGCTGCACTGCCTGTGGCAAGAGCTGACTGATTGCCCCAGGCTTCTGGGATGTGTTTATTTCAGGAGGGTGGGTTTCCAGACTAGCCTGGGGTTCTTCAGCAGGGCTAAGCCTATCAGAGACGCTAATGGTCCCAGGGAGAAGGGTGTTGACTCTCATCTGTCTAAATGAACCCTCAACTGAGGTTGAGGCCCACACTTGATGCTCCAAATTCTTGCTCCTTGCCAGAGGATGCTAGCAGAATGTGAAGCACCCAGATGTCCAGTTGTGCCCTGAGAAGCACACCAGCAACAGACGGCGCTCATCAGCTTGCTGTGGGAGTTATCTCTATCTACAATTAGCTACAACCTCGCAACATCACCCGGAAGTTACAACTCTTTAACCTCACATCACATGCACTCATACACAGAAAGGCTGCGGAGCTAGTCACAATGGTGGGGCCAATTTAACAACCAGTCTGTCTTGACACTGGAGAGGTGGTCCGGTGGTTAAGAGTGCTGACTGCTCTTCCAGAGGACCCAGGTTCAGGTCTCAGCACCCACATTGGTGACTCACAACTGCCTCTAACTTCAGTTGCAAGGGATCCCTTCTAGCCTCCTTGGGCACCTGAATATGCTCCACATCAGGGGATTCATGGGTGGTACTCTCACCTGGTTTAAAAAAAAAATCAATGACAACAATCAAACACATGTGAAGGTTGCAGGCCCTGAGGAGAAGCTCTATTATTGTTTTGCTAAAGGATCAGGTTGTCAAACTGCCCTAGAAGTATTTATATTTATACCCATAGAGCTGTGCTGCTCTTGGCCTTGACCAGAAAAGCTTCTTGCAGTGAGCATCACTCAACAGAGACTTATATATAACTGGTCAAAGAGCTGAGAACAAGGAACTGTATGCGAACTGTCTATATTTATAAGTAAATGGTGGCATGTCATAATACTGGCTGGCACAAAAAGTAACTATAACATATGTTGTTATGGCCTGGGTATTTGTGCCACCCCAGAACTCATATGTTGAACCCTTCAATGGGGTGGTATTTGGAATTGAGATGAGTAAGTCATGATGCAGGTGGGCCTCTTTGATAAGTTTATTGATGAGACACCAGAGAGCTTGCTCTCTTTCTGTGCTGGGTAAGAACACAGGCAGCCATGTGCACCCCAAGAAAAAGCCCTCACCAGACCCGACCAGTGTGATATCTGAATGGAAAAAAAAAAAGAAAAGAAAAAAAGAGGAAGTATAAGACTGCTCCTAGGGATGATGGAGAAGAAGGTTTATTGTAGATATTAATGAAGACAGCATAGCCAGAAGCAGAGACAGAGACACCTGGGAGAGGCCGGAGTGAACCAGACCAGACTGGTCTATACGAGAAGGGCGAGGGGAGAGGAGTCTCCCATGAAGACGGGCATCATGGGCTAAGTGATTGGCATGGCCAAAACAGCTGAGTTATCTAGGGGCCAGTAGAGTTGCAGGCAGAGAAGCCCAACCCTATAGCTGGGCTGCAGACTTCAGGATAGGGGGCTGGGTATGCCAGCCAGGAGGGCCCTGTAGCAGGAGAGACTGAGGGATGCTGGGAAAACCTGGTGGACAGCATCCACTTTGCTATGTTAATAGCACCTTGGTTAGCTATTGCCCTGAGCTGGAGACTGTGAGCTGACCGTGGACTTCTAGCCATGGAAGAACCAGAAGACCCTAACTTGGGTTAAGTCTGTGGTATTTTGTCATAGCCACTCATACTGACAAACATGACTCAGCCATTTTGGCTGTTCCGCTCTCATGGCTGCACTCTCTCCTGCTCTCTTGGATCTGGCTCCTCCCTTGGGCTCCTGGCCTCTTGGCCTTCCCACTATCCTTCCTCCTGTCTCTCTCTGGCTCTGGCCTCTCCCAGACATCTCTTCCTCTTGCTGTCTCACGTATCTATAGAATACTTTCTGTGTACTTTAGGCGTAGTAGTGTCCTGGGTTGATCTCTTTTCTTCCTTTGAAAGACCAGGATAAATCCAGGCCCCCTCCCCTAGCAGGAAGAGTAGAGCCAAAAATCTAGGTTGGCCAGTCAGTGACTCTGTTCCAGGAACTGGCTGACCATAAAGTTAGATTATAACCTTGAAGAACAATCTTGAGAAACGGGGAGTCACCCCCTTGTGATTATCACTGGTATTTTCGGAACCTTCCAATGACGCCCTCCCTACCCCCTTTGGGTTGTGGTTTCTTCCCTTAAATATCCCTTCTCCCAGCTACTGGGGTCAAACTCCTCTACCCCTGCGTGGGATATGAGTCTCGGCCCCAGCACGCTGGTTCCTGTCAATAAACCTCGTGTGATTACAGCAAGGACGGTCTCTCGTGAGTACTTGGAGGGCTGTGTTATCCTGAGACTTAAGTGAGAGTCTACCAACTCAGGGGGGGGGTGGCCTTTCACCTTCTCCCCCAAGCCTACGGGCCTGGAGTCTAACCCCAGGACACACATGGTAAGAGAGAACCCACTCCTGCTGGGTGTCCTCTCATCTCCTTAAACATGTCATGGCATGTGTAAGTCCACATACGTACACACTAAATAAATACATAAATGTAAATTTTGTTTGTTTGTTTTGTTTCAAGACAGGATTTCTCTGTTTACCTTTGGAGCTGTCCTGGAGCTTGCTCTGTAGACCAGGCTGGCCTGGAACTCACAGAAATCTGCCTGCCTCTGCCTCCCAGGTGCTGGGATTAAAGACATGTGCCACTTCCACCCAGCATAAATGCAAATTGTTTTAAAGATTTAAATAAAAAGCCCTACAAAGGTGGTGTCTTAGTTGGGGTCACTGTTGTTGTAATGAAACATTATGACCAAAGGCAACTTGGGGAGGAAAGGGTTTATATATATTGCTCCATATAACAGTTTATGAAGAGCCGTCAGGGCAGGGACTCAAGCAGGGCAGGAACCTGGATGCAGGAGCTGATGCAGAGACCATAGAGGGCTGCTGCTTGCTGACTTGCTCCTCATGGCTTGCTCAGCCTGGTTTCTCTTTTTTTTCTTTTTTCTTTTTCCTTTCTTTTTTTTTGGGGGGGGGTGGGGTCTTCTGAGACAGAGTTTTCCTATGTTATTGTGCTGGCTGTCTTGGAACTCACTTTGTAGACCAGGCTGGCCTCGAACCTAGAGAGATCTGCTGCTTCGTCCTCCCAAGTGCTGGAATTAAAGGCGTGCTCCACCATCACCTGGCATTTAACCGGCTTTCTTTCAGAACACAGGACCACCAGCCCAGGACAGCACCACCCACAATGGGCTGGTCCCTCCCCAGCCATCACTAAGAAAATGACCTACAGATCCACCCACAGTCTGTTCTTCTAGAGACATTTTAAATTGATGTTCTCTCCTCTCAGATGACATTAACTGTATCATAAAGCTATCCAGCAAAGACAGGTTTTGCTGCTGGTGATTTGTTCGTTTGTTTATTTGTTTGTTTTTGAGACCGGGTCTCACTATGTAACCTTGGCTGACCTGGGATTTGCTGTGTTCACCAGGCTGATGACATCAAATTGACAGCAATCCATCTGCCTCTACCCCCTAAATGCTAGGATTAAAGGCATGACCACCACGTTGGGTGGGTATCCATTTTGTTATTGACAGTGCTATTTCTCTGTAGGGCTGCGCTACACTTGGTTGACTTATGACTCAGTTGGTGGACGTTTGAGTTGTTTCCACTTTGGGCTTACTGTGACTAACACTGCTGTGTCTATTTGCACGGCCATATGATGTCATGTCCCTTGGGAGTGCCCTCAGGAGTGGAAATGCCCCGTCCAAAATTGAACCTTAGAAGGAACTGCCAGCCTGTCTGTGGTTTTGCCTCCTCTCTGAATTTTCCAGATCACACCTACATCAGGACTTTTTCCACTTCTTTGCTTTGCAAAAGGTTTGGTCAAGGAAGCCAACTTGAAGTCCCCCGACTATCACCGGCAATGGAGTTGTAGTTCCTCTGTATGGGCCGAGGCCATTTCATTTGCAGGCCATCTGGACATTTGAAGTCCCAGCCCTAATCAATCGAGTCATTTGTAACCTGTCAGAAGATGCAGACTATTGGTTGAAACCCATGACTTTAACTGCTGAATTCTTAATATTTATTGATTTTGCTCTGTAGTAATTGCTGAAGTGGACAGATGTGTTTGAGGCCTGTGAATGTAGCTAAAATAGGATGGTAGCATTGGTACCTAAGAGTTCTTCAAAAGCCTCTTGAGATGGAAGAGACTCTTCTGGTGCTTTTTGGGGAAGAACTGACTGGAAATGGGATGAAGGTGCAATCAACGCAAAGTCCCTCCTGTCAGGAAACTGAGGATGTAAATCATTTAGAGGAGACGCTAGCTAGCAACCGCAGGAGCCAGTGGTAGACGGCTAAAAAGCTGAAAGCCCCAAATCAAATGTTAGCATGAAAGGTTAAAAAGCTGCTAGAAGTAGGATCAAGCTCCTCCCCCTCCATCAAGGCTGGACAAGGTAAGCCAGCATAGGGAACAGGTTCCCAAAAGACAGCTAAGCGCCAGAGACAGGTCCTGATCTCGCTGCTAGGAGCCTTACAAATGGGAGGAAAGGAGGGAGGGGAAACTGTGGTCGGTATGTAAAATAAATGAAAAAAGAGTTCATTAAAAAAGCTGCCGGATGATACTTGGTAAAAAAGAAGGCGAGACTGGGAATTGCTTTTTCTTTTCCTAAATTGAACTCACACTGTAGACCAGGTTGACCTCAAACTCACAGAGATCCGCCTGCCTCTGCCTCCTGAGTGCTGGGATTAAAATCATGCACCACTGCAGCCCCGCAGAGTTACCTTTTCAATACTTTCCTTTATGCTATCTTCTTGCATTCTTCATTGCTCTTCTTGCCCCACAGTCACAGCCTTCAAATCTGCTCACTCAAACTTCAAAATTCTAATGTTGGGAGACCGGCTGGGCTTATTTCATTCTGCCCTCCCCATCCATAGAACGAACAGTTGAAGTCCAGCCCATATATATATATGGTGTTATGATGTTATAAGAGTGTCTTGCCTGCATGTATGTCTGTGCACCATGTGTGTACAGTGTCTTCAGAGGACAGAAGAGAGGGTTGGATCCCCCAGAATTGGAGTTATAAACAGTTGGGAGCTGCCATGTGAGTGCTGGGAATCAAACCCAGGTCCTCTAGAAGTTAAGAGTCTCACCCCATAATGAGACTCTTAAACCACATAGCTGCATAGACGAAGCCCTCCTTCAGTTAACCATCCACATTCTGCATAGCTGCGTAGACGGAGCGCTTGTCGGTTAACCATCCACACTCTGTACACTCTATTGCCTCCCACAACCATGAGACCAATTGTGCTCAGGCAGAATAGCACACAGATGGAAGAGAGCTCCAGGAAGGAGTGGCTGGAATGTTAAGTGAGTGTTTGATGAGTCCCCGCATTCCTCCTCTGTGACAGGATGCCAGCAGGCCCAATCTTGAGACTCTCTTGCAAGGAGTCACAGCAGCTCTGACGAAGATGACAGTGGTGTCCTACCATGGAGGACAGCATTCTACAACTCCTGTCTCTCCGAGGGTGAGACGAGCAAAATTCCTCCATCTCCACTGTGGACTGGCTCCAGATTCCTCGGCCGAGGTGACTCATCTTCCAGTGCTGTGAGTTTTGCCTTTCTGGCTCTCTCCTTCCCTTAAAAGCTGCCTTCAACCCATGGTCCCCACTGGATCCACCTTCATTCATCTTGAAGGTGGACTAACCTTTCAAGAGATATAATTTGGCTTAATCGATTTAATAGCCCAAGCAGCATAAATTAATTTTCTTTTTTGGATTGGATGGTAACTGTCTTCACTATCAGTTTGACTGGATTTGGA